CCGTGGGCTCAGGCAATCCACTCACCTCAGCCTCCCAAAGGCGGGGGATTACAGGCTGAGCCGCGGAGCCCAGCTGGCCTTTTGCATTTCTTCTTCTGGAGAAATATCTACTCAAGTTGCCCCCCCCGCTTTTTTTTTTAAAACAAATAGGGTTTCACTCTGCCTCAGTCTCTAGTGTAGCTGGGACCACAGGTGTGAACCACCAAATCATCTGTTGCCTACTTGTTAATTGACTGTCTCTTTGTTGTTGTGTTATAAAAGCTCTTTATATATTCTGGATACCAGAACTTTATGAGATACATGATTTGCAAAAGTTTTTCTCTCATTGTGTAGGTTGTCTTTTCACTTTCTTGATAGAGTTCTTTGATGCATAGAAGTTTTAAATTTTAAAGACCAATGTATCTGTTTGCTCTTTTGTTGCTTATGCTTTTGGTGTCATAACTAAGAACCCACTGCCAAATCCAAGGTCATGAAGACTTACCCCGATGTTTACTTATAAGAGTTTAGTTTAAGCTCTTACATTTAGGTCTCTGGTCCATTTTGAGTTAATTTTTACATATGGTTGAGGCAAGGATACAACTTCATTCTTTTGCACAATGATATCCAATTGTATTAGCACTGCTGAAAAGACTATTGTTTTCCTATTGAATGGTCTTGGCACCCTTGTGGAAAATTGATCATAAATGTGAAGGCTTGTTTCTGGCCTGTCAGTTCTATTGTATTTGTCTATATGTTGATTCTTATACTAATTCCACACTGTTTCTATTACTGTAGCTTTGTGGTAAGTTTTGAAGTGTGTGTTCTCAAACTTTGTTCTTTTTTTTCAGGATTGTTGTGGATATTAAAGGTCCCATGCAATTGTGTATGAGTTTTAGAATCGACATTTGTATTTCTACAAGAAAAGGTCATTGGGATTTTAATAGGGATTGTATTGAATTTGTAGATCACTTTGGAGAGTATTACCATCTTAACATTAAGTCTTCTAATCCCTTAACACAGAATTTCTTTCCATTTATTTAGGTCATCTTTTTTTTTTTGAGTTGGAGTCTTGTCTTACTCTGTCACCCAGACCTGCTGGGCTCCGGCAGTCCTTCCGCCTCAGCCTTCCAAGTAGCTGGAACTACGGGCGTGCGCTACCATGCCCGGCTAATTTTTTGATTTATTGTAGAAATGAGGTCTCACCAA